GATGGAGAAAGGGATCGGAGGTCTAACGCTTAGGATGGAGAAAGGGACCGGAGGTCTAATGCTAAGGATGGAGAAAGGGGTCGGAGGTCTAACACTAAGGATGGAGAAAGGGGTCGGAGGTCTAACACTAAGGATGGAGAAAGGGGTCGGAGGTCTAACGCTCTAAGCACTTCATCTGTGCTTTCTGGTCGATGGGATGGGACCAGCTGTGTCAAGTTCCTGGGGCCTTGGCTACCTGGGCTGGGAAACAGAACACACCTTCCTCCCTGAGCTGGGAGACAAAAATGCCCTTCCTCCCTGAGCTGGGAGACAGAACACATCCTTTCTCCCTGAGCTCTGAGGCAGAACACACCTTCCTCCCTGAGCTGGGAGACAGAACACACCTTCCTCCCTGAGCTGGGAGACAGAACACACCTTCCTCCCTGAGCTGCTCTCACCACATCATGACAGCAGGAAAGAAGCTGCTGGAAGCAGGCACAGCTCAGCTTCCTAAGAGTTTTCCCAAGAAATGATATAGGTAGGCATATTCTAAACTCCTACTTCATCATAGCAAACCAAAATTGCCTATAGGCTACATACAGAGAGGGAGACAGATGTGGAAGCAACCCAGGAGAGCATCATGCTTACCCTGGCCTAATGCAAAAAATGTGACTGAAATTCGAAGTCAGATAATAACAAAAGACATTCTTTTTGTCCATTCGTGTTCCTGGTGATCAGCACTGCTACTTCTGTTACAATTAAATTTATTTGTATCTATGTACATACACATAGCAAAATAGGTTATTGATAGATTAGGTATAATTAGAATAGATTTTTATTAATCTCAAGTTTATACTTCAGCACGTATATTATAATTTTACTTCTAAAAAGTTCTCTTGAAAAAGTAATTTACCCTATTAAAAAATAGGCAAAATTAATACACATTCAAGGATTTCAGTGGTATTGTTATTAGTAGCAATATAAACTAGAAGCTAAAATGCAATATTATAGATATGAAAATAAAGTTAGGGAGACTTTTTGAAGATAAGACAAAGTCTATGGAGTACTAGAGAAAAGGGAGAATTCAGGCCATGAGTGCACAGCACACCTATAATCCCAGAATGAACGGGGCAGAAGGCGGAGGACCACCGTTCAAGGCCATCCTGATCGACATATTGATTTCAGCCCAGCTCGGACTACACAGCAAAATTCTGACTCAGGAAAATAAGAGAAAGGAAAAAGAGAATCCAAAACTATATGAAATTTTGTTTTTAAAACAAATGCACATATTAGAAAAAGTCATATGTGGTATCAGGATTATTAGTGATTTTACTTTTTGTTTTCCTTTATTAACTAGATTTCTGATAACAAGTAAGAATTATATTAATAATCCCTGTCCTGTTTGTATATAAATTGAATGCGTGTCTTGCATAATTTTAAAATGTATGCAATTAACATTTTAACTAAATTCATAGAATATTTCCCTTCCAAGTTATAAAAAATATACTTTCATATTAAGCGACAATTACATGGACTTGCACTCCTTCACAGCCTCAACAGTTCTGACCTACTGCCAGGGCAGTTTTGAACCAGGAGGAAAACGAGCTGAGTTTGAGATTTTTCTCGATTACTTCTCTGGAACTCCCACCTTCCCTCCCAGCACAATGTGTATAAGATCTTGAAACTGGAAATGAAGTAACAAAGTAAGACAGCTTCCGAAAACACCAAGTACTGCCTTTCCCCGTAAAATTAAAAGGAGAAATTTTCAGCTATTTAACAAGAAGATAATTCTAAGGAATCTAAGATACAACTTCATAATAGTTTGGGGTTTAAATGTCATAATTTTCAATCAATATTTAATTTCTGTTTTTTGAGGACTTAAATAATTCTTTTCTTTAGTACCTAGAAAATTTCAAATTTAACAATTGCTGGCAGATTAACAATTATTATAACAATGAATTTGAATGTGTTCTAATAAGGAAATTATAATGTAATAAAAGGACTTAAATTTACAACCCTCTTATAGTAGACTATAATATAGAAAATGCATAGATCAATGCTCACATAATGAAAGGTTACTCCATATACCCAAGAGTTTACTACTATATCCCTCATATTATTTAGTCTTGTCTGTTGATAAAAAGCACCTCTAGAATCCATATGTGTGTGTGTGTAAGCTATATTAAAAATCCATGTTATTATCAAAGTCACCCGAAATTTCCTTAAGACTGAAAAGCAAAGAAGAATACATAAATATTTGTTTCTACCTTAATACAATCTTTGTTTGATAGACCATTTTCCTCTCTCAGGAGAAACTATAGCAATTCCCAGTCTTTAAAACAAAGAGTAAAAATCATCACCTCGACTTCTGGAATAATAATTAAGGGTAAAACAGGAATTACATATCTTCATAAAAATCATTAAACTCTATAAATCTAAATTAAAAGAAAGCATTATAATAAATAGCCCAAATTAAATTTTAAGTAACTATAAAGTATCAAAAATATAAAAACTGATAGGGCAAAGGCACAATTATGTTCTAGGAAAAACTTGGATTAGAATAAAACAAAAAAAAAATCAAAAAGAAAAACAAAAGTCTCTAACACCATATTTAAAAACATCATTTAATATTTCCAAAGAGAAGAATTTAGTGATTACGTACTGAAAGCTGTCCAGACAAGAACTGCGGGACATCCCGTAACATGCCAGGACTCATGGGCGAGGTAACGGATATGGAAGGACGATCCATTTTTTGAGATTCAAATGAGCTAGAACCTGAAATAACAGTTGCATACAAAGGAAATAAAATGAACCTGAAATGACAGTTGCACACAAAGGAAATAAAATGCCTTTGGCTCTTTCCGAACACTCAGCTTATGTCTTTAAAGGCCCTTAACTTCCATTCCACAGAGCCGCTGTAGTGCTACAATGTTATCAACAGCCTTAAGGAGCTTCTGGTACTGCTTTGCTGTTTGTTTCAGACAATTGCATTTGTTGTGGTTGAGCTTGGTTTTGCGTGAGTGCAATGTAGGATTCTGTTCAGACCCACAGTCACACCACTGCTGTGCTGACTGCAACAGCGACAGGCTCCACATTAGGATTTCCTAATCTGTTAAGTGTTCTATAATCACACTTTATAATGAGAGAACACTAAAAATGGAAAAGGAAAAAAAAACCAAAACAGTAAACTACCTCAAGAACATGCAAACTTTAAATGCTTAGAACATAAGTACTAGAATTCCAAAATTATTAAAAGCTTCTGGGTGACTTTTAAGTCATATCTTGAAGGATACAAAATATTACACCAGCAAAACTGAAATAAGGGGCTATAAAAAAGATACAGAACAGCAGAAACAGCAATAACCAAATCTTATATGCATGAATTTGTTCCTATGCAGTTGGAGGAACCACTTTGAATGTGAATAGATAGAGATAATAAGACACTGGTAGAATTATATGTCCTACTGAGAGGACAATGGCTTTCCCAGCTCTTTACAGTATGGATTGGGATGAAGAGATAGAAAACAGTAGTGAGCATTTAATCCTCAATGAGATACTAACACCAAAGGCTGGGAAAGGAAAGCGAGCAGAAGGAATTCAGATGATGCTATGAATCATGAGGATAACAGGCCTCAGGAAGGGGCTCGGTGGAACAGCACTTGCCAGCTATGGTGATATCTGAGGTCCAAATACAGAAAGTACTAAGATTTCAATCCTATTCTCCAGACCAGAAAGTCCCTGTGTACCAGTTATCTCTGGAAAAGACAGCATGCCAGAGTTCACTGTAACCTTTTATACAATGTTCTAAATTCCAGTGAACGTTGGCACACTTGGTACCTCTGTCTTTCTCACATCTATAACTTCCTTTTTCCCTCCTACACAGTCGAAGGTCGAACCTCAGGAATCACGCATAGCTGGCAAGCAGAACTGACTGTGGAACCAAAGGACCTTATAACACCTTTACTATACCTAAAAGCAATGTAAAACACATAACATACACTTCGACTAAACATCAGAGTCGAGACTAGAGTTAGAATCTGGCCGGTGAGCTGTACACCTGTTAGAAAGGCACATGCATAGAATTCATGTCTAGAGAGTGTATCATGTAAAGTTATCGGGTCGGCTTTAAAGAAGAATTGAAGAGTCGCATCCTGCCGTCAAGTTCATGGTGCCCCCATCACCGTCGGCTGCCTCGGCCGCTGTGAGAGCCCGTGCACGGTTTTGTGACCCGCATTTAAACATGCATGGGAGCTTTTTAATCTCCCTGAAAGACAAGCTCTGTGAAGCTGTTCTTTTGTTACTCAAAAACTTTTAATAGAACTCATAAACATATCTTTTGAATCCTCTCTCAGCCCTTTCTCCTCAACCAAAATTAAAGCCCCGTGCTAGCAAAGCCAGGGACTGAATTGTAGCTACCAAGGTTTCTTCCCTTCTCTCCTGGCGATTGGCAGGGCCATGTGACCTCCGGCTCCCTGGAGACTCTGCACTAGCTCTGGCTTGAGGGGATAACTTAGCAAGAACCTGGTTCTCTTTGTTATGGTGATTCCACATGAATTCAAGGTTTTAGCAGTGGGTCCATAGCCTGGCTCCCCAGCTGATCCTGCTCCAGGCGCCGGGAAGACTTTAATCTTCTCCTCCTGCTCCTGGATGGGAGGAGGTCTTGCATTTTCGATCCTTCTAGCCCACTGGTATAAATACCCGACTTGAGTTTAATAAAGTTGCCATTTACTCTGGTAAATGAGCAAAGGTCTGTTTTGTGTGTGTCTCTTTTTCAACCCTCAGGACAATCGTCCATTCTCATGGGCCCGAGTTCGGAAAAGCACGCAGCCTGAACCGGGTGTGGGTATCCATTGGAAAGTGCAGACTCTTACAGAAAGCTGTAAATTTTGGATCAAAAAGTGATGGATCAAAACCAACTCCTTTTCATAATATTTAGAAGCAAAACAATGATGCCTTTGTAGATATAATTTGCTATCTCACAAGGCTTTCAAAGCATCCGATAACAAGAAATTAGTAAAATGCATTCTTTAAGCAGCTAGGGACAGAGACAATGACAGCACCTCTTAATCATACAGCTTCGGCAGCCGCCTAGCTGGCCAAGCTTAGCTTAGTGTACAAAGAAAATAGTCTACAGATGTATCCAGAGCAGAGACTTAAGGACCAGTCCCTGGACAAGCCTATAAATGAATGTTTAAAAAACAAATGTTCGGAACCACTGTGAATAGAGACTCTTGTGTCTTGGGGAACTAGTTCACTAGCATAGCCATAAGAAGATAAAGGGTTGACTATTACACTATTACACTCGTGGCATCTTACTGGTACACGGGAAAAAGACATTGCCTGTGCCGTAGTTTTGAAAAGGATAGTGACAATATAACTACAACACCAAGCACAGTTTCAAGCACTAAACAAAATGAGAGCCATGAAAATAGCACTATACAATTCTAATGTTTACTTCTTACAGTACAGCTTAATTTGAGCAGGACCACCACAATCTTGCACTGTCATTAAAGTAGTCATGTTTCCAATCTTTGTGGTGCTTAGCATTGACTGCATCCAATAACTTTAATGATAGAATCAAATAAGTATAAATATCTCTTGGAGAGTATGGCCCAAGAGCTCCCGTGTCCTCCGGGGCAAGCGGAAGTCTTTTGGCTCTTTGAAGACTGAGAAATGTCTGCTGTTGTTCCGGCAGCTTCCTTCGCAGCCTTCTGTCTTCCTCCTCGCTACCTCCATTCGGCCATGCTGCGCTGTGTTCCCTTTCCTGTACCAGTATCTGTACCCCGCACCTGTGAAGCGCTCCCTGTAACAGCCACCCTCTAAAGTGCTGCTCAACTACTTACCAATCAGCAGTCCATCAGAAGACAAACAATAAGAGTAATTGTGTATTTGACTTTTTAAATTCATGTTTAATGTTCCATTGCTGCTGTGCCATAAAATTAGAACTACCATCTTAGTTTCAAAAAAAAAATACAAATTAGAAAAAATAAAATTATTCAATAGTTTGCTCCACACACACCCTTACAAAGAGACTGGAGTTACAAAGTTCCAAATTTTAAATTTTGGGGGAAACTTTGGGAGTAGGTAGTGATGGGGAATGATAGACATGGTCATGACTTTTCATTGCGATACTCGGGCTTATAAGAAGCCAAAATTTAACTGCATATTTTTGTGCAGGTTATTAGAATACACCTTAGTACTACTGAAAAAAATCCACGTAATGGCAGCGGGGGAACAATACTGAAATCACTATAGAGTTTGTATTTTTCCCTACAGCGATGAGAAATAATCTGAAAATTTCCATTCTATATGTAATTTAGTATTAGAATTTGAATATCTTACTCCATATTAATAGATTAATTTCTTTATTAGACCCTTGATGAAGGGCATGTTGACTGGCACACCCTAGATAAATGAAACTTACTGGACTCCAGCTGTGCATGTGTGCTATCAGGGATTCTTGGTATATCTCTGAAACGACAGAAAAGGGGAAAAATAAACTTATAACAATTGACACATCTTCTATTTCAATCAAAATTTCAAATAAAAAGTGACATAGGAAAAATGAGTTCAGTGGGAGGATTATGAATACATGACCAACCACAATCTTTTGTTTTGTTTTGGACAAGTTGGCCTCGATCTTCCATAGAGGTGGAGATGGCCTAGAATTTGCCACATAGTTCAGTCTTTTCCCCTTAAGTCTGGGATCATATTTTTGCTGCTAACTCTAAGAAGAATTAAGATCTATGTGCATCTGTATTGGATTTATAAAAATACACTTTATTTCCTATGTGCTTAACTATAAAAACACTTACTATAAAAAATACTTTGTATTCAACAAGGTTAACTTTTTATAAACATACTAATTCATTTTTTAATTTTTGCCTTCTCTTATAAATAACCTATATTGTGAATCAAACTAAATATCATTAAAACATTCCAATTATAATTAAAATTTTAAGGTGGAGTGGTTACATTGGTAACAAGCAAACATGATTCTTATGGAGACTTTCAAAATTACCTTGCAACCATATTTACACCAAAAATACCTATACTTATTTGATATAGGAGGATCATTTATAAAATATATAAAAGTCTATAATTATTTAGAATATTAAAATATAATTTGAGTATACTTTAACACTAAAATAAATTTGATTAATAAACTAATATGATTCATTATGGTTTTGCCATATTACCAAACCTTAAAAAGGCAAAGGTTGCCACTCATGGTTTCCTAAGTGAATGAAAACCGGATATAATAACAAGGAATAATATCTGCAGGTTCCATTCATAGATGCTGTAAGCCATTCAATAATTTAATAATTCGTCCAGTAGTTTACCATCCAGTTATACATTTTTAATTTTGATACACCTTTTATGTTACCATACAATGCAAGTTTCTGCAGAAAAAGGACTGCCAGACACTTCATGACTAATCCTCACAGCGTAGATGAAAGGGTTAAATCTCCTGCCATAGTTGGAGTATATAGGCTATTGGCAATAAACTATAGTGGCAAAATGTCTTAGAGGTGCCTATTTCATTGCAAGCCACAAGTTTTAAAAAACTGCTTTTCCTTAAACAAGTCCTGTATCTGGAAATTACATGCACTTTGGTTCTCTCTTCTCTCAGCCAGAATCTCCATTTAAAAAAAAAGAAACAAAGACTAATGACCTTAGCTATATACTAATTATTAAGATAACAATAATTCTTTTTTTAAAAAAAAGACTAAATATGTCTTCTTTTTTGAAATGAGCAACCTATTTTGCATAATCAGGCAAAGAAAAATTATTAATTTGTCAAATGTTTTAAATGAAAGAAAAACGATATCTATGAAAAACACACATTTCCATAAAGTAGTCATAAAATTTTGGCTTGGACAGTCCAGACTAATGAACAGCAGTGGACAGTCCAGACTAGTGA